AAAAAAGGGCAGAAGAGAGGGAGATTAGATGCAATAACACTGACTTTGTCTTGTCACTGGCTTCACTAGTCCAGGAATAAAAAGAGAAAAACGTCTTCAGTATTAAAGTAAAAGGCAAAGGACATTATCTCACTATACCTTGCTATTGCCAACATCTTGTGGGACAAAATATCCAGTTAGTATTAAGATAACATCCATCCATCCATCCATTACTTTTACCCACTTCTTCCTTTTTGGGTCACAGGGGTCACTGGTGCCCAAGTCCAGCCATCACTGTGCGAGGGGCGGGGGACACCCTGGACAGGTCTCCAGTCCATCACAGGGACACATACAGTAGAGACAAACAAGCCAAATAACCATTCACTCTCTCACCCTAGGGACAATGTAGAGTTACCAATCAGCCTAACATGCATGTTTTTGGTCTGTGGAAGGAATAACGAGAAATAATAATGAAATAATAATTTTAATAATAATGAGGATAACGAGTTACAACAAATAATAATTTCCCTTTGGGATTAATACATTATTTTTGAATTTTAATTTAATTGAATTGAAGCCGGAGTACACAGAGAAAACCCACATATGCACAGAGAGAAGTCAAGTCAAGTCAAGTCAGATTTATTTATAGAGCACATTTAAAACAGAAACTGTTACCAAAGTGCTTAACAAAAATATCACATCATCAAATAAAAAGTAGCAAGATATATTTACAGCACATGGAATAAAAATATAAAACCAAAAACAATTAGAAACAATGAAATACTAAATCAGATCACGTTGTGTCAAAAGTCAAGGAAATAATAACAAAAAGCATAAACTCAGTCTGAAACAATGGAATACTAAATCAGATCTGATGACCTTGTGTTAAATAGGAATAATAACAAAAGCATAAACAGAATCAGCATCAATGAAAAACCAGATCTAAAGCTGATCACCCTGTGTTAAATGTCAGTGAGTACAGATGTGTTTTTAGGAGAGATTTAAAGGCAGAGACTGAGGTGGCCTGTCGAATGTTGATGGGCAGATTGTTCCAGAGTTTAGGGCCCACGACTGAGAACGCTCGATCTCCTCTGAGCTTCAGCCTGGTTTTTGGTACGGCCAAAAGCAGCTGGTCTGATGATCTCAAAGCCCGAGAAGGAGTATAAGGAAGAAGAAGGTCGGAGAGGTATGATGGTGCAAGGCCGTTAATGCACTTGAATGTCAGCAGGAGAATTTTAAAATCAACTCTGACACGTACAGGAAGCCAGTGAAGAGAGGATAGAACCGGAGTAATGTGCTCAAACCTGTGAGTTCCTGTTAAAAGCCGAGCTGCAGCATTTTGTACGAGCTGGAGATGTGAGAGTGAAGCCTGACTAACCCCAACATAAAGTGAGTTACAGTAGTCCAGCCGGGTTGTAATAAATGCATGGACTAGTTTTTCAAGGTCGAATCTGGACAGAACGGACTTTAGCTTTGCTATCTGCCTTAGCTGAAAGAAGCTCTTTTGTAGAACAGAGTTGATCTGTTTATTAAACTTAAAGTCCGAGTCTAACACTACCCCGAGATTGGTAACTGACTGCTTTAGATGAGGCTGAAGGGAGTGCAGGTTTACAGGATCAGTGACAGTGGCAGAGCTTGGGTTAAACACAATGACCTCAGTCTTCTGATCATTAAAGCTCAAGAAGTTTGCAGCCATCCAAGTCTTGATATCATCAAGACATTTTAGCAAAGGGAGGATGGAGCAAGAACTGTTTGGTTTTAAAGGTAGATAGATCTGAGAGTCATCGGCGTAACAGTGAAGATCCAGCCAGAAAGGCCCCATGGCCTGCATGTGATCCAGCAACCTTCTCACTGAGAGGCAGCAGCTCTACCAACCGTATCACTGTGCCGCCCATATTAGGATAGCATTACATTAAAATTGCAGATGTGCACTGTCTGCTTGTATGGCTTTTTGTCCTTCTACAGGTGCCAAATTTAATAAAGTATGTCACTTTTTAAAATTTTATTATACTAATATCAGTGCTGTCCAGGGGCAGCACGATGGCACAGTTGGTAGAAATGCTGCCTCTCAGCGAGTAGGTTGCCCTGGTTCAAATCCCAGTCTGGAGGCCCTTCTAGTTGGAGTTTGCATGTTCTCTCTGTGCATGCATGGCTTTTCTACTCTGGTTTCCTCCCACAGACCAAAAACATGCATGTTAGGCTGATTGGTAACTCTAAATTGTCTCTAGGTGTGAGTGAGAGAGTGAATGGTTGTTTGTCTCTATGTATCCCTGTGATAGACTGGAGACCTGTCCAGGGTGTCCCCCGCCTCTCACACAGTGATAGCTGGATATGGGCACCCGTAATCTCCGCGACCCAAAAAGGAAGAAGCGTGTAAAGATAATGGATGGATGGATGAATAAATATCAGTTGTAACAGAAGAAGACGGACTCCTCTAGAGTTTAAATTTCTTCTATACAGATAATACAAATTCTTATTTAGAGGCAAAGAGGTCTGGTTGAAGTCTGGCATATTGAATAAATTTATTCTTCTTCAAATTCAGAAATCATTTCAGTCTTAACAGTGACTAAGAAGCTTCTTGCAAAAGATCAACAAACTGATTGAGAGGTTTCCTCTGTAGAAAACATTGCATCATCAGCAAATACAGTAGATGTATTTTCACTGTTTCTACCAAAGAAACTGTGTAGATTCATTGAAATATATTTGTTACCCTCAAGTATAGGAACACCTTTTACTAAGTAACAAATGATTAGTTCGACATCAGATTCACATGGTGATCAGCACTGTCACCCCAATGAAGGGAGGTTTTTGGTTTAAACCTGCATGCTGGCTAAAGTTGAACATTCCTGTGAACGGGGTTACACTTTTATGTTCATTTTCTGATACGCATGTCTTGTGATATTTTATTTCTGTGAACCCATAAATTCAACAGGCAGTCCTACACGATTAAAATTTAGCAGGAAAATGCAAACAGTTCTGCAGTCAAACTACGTGTTTCAAGTAAAAAAAAACGGAGGCTCCTTAAGTGATCCATTTCAAAAAGATGTGAAGAATCGTTCATAAAACATCTCTGCAGTGTTGTCTTGACTCAGCCAATGAGCCAGAAATGACTTCTTATTCATGAATTATCCTGTAGTGTTGCAGTACTGGAGATTGGTCTTAGTCTTGAGACCGGTCTCAAGACCACTTTTTGATGGTCTTGGTCTTGTCTCGGACTCGACCACATTTGGTCTCGGTCTTGTCTCAATCTCGGACATTGAGGACTTGGGTTTTTATTTTAAGACCAGTCAAGACCACAACTGTCACTAAATTGCCAGAATATTGTCCAGTTTATTTGCTAACATCCTTGTTTTTATTGGATGTAAAACAAACTGGTTCAAATCCAAGTGATAACGTGACTCAATTCTAAATACATGTTTTTGTTACCGCTGTCAAGCCCACCCCCTTTCACTCACATGTGGTTCTGTACCAACAGAACAATACAGACAACAGAACGTAATGCCACAACCAGGAGTGAAAGTAAGCCGGTACGGATAATCTGTGAAAAGATTGAGCTCCAAGACCAGAGGTCTTGGTCTCGACTTGGTCTCGGACCCCAAAAGTCTTGGTCTTGTCTCGGTACACTCTGGTCTTGGTATTGACTTGGTCTTGGGTTAGGTGGTCTTGACTACAACACTATTATCCAGTTGATCTAAATATTCCATCTGATCCCAGCAGGAGGGAGTATTTTGAGGTGTAGATGATTTTTATGAAATACTCATAAAATATGCAAATAAAAAATGGGAATTGTTTCAACAGCCTTTTTTAATTGCAATCTGTTTGATGGATCGTCAAACAACTTATTATATGCTGTTACGTTAAATATCAATGTGTAGACAGTTTAAATTAGTCATTTGCAAAATTCTTGTTTAAACCAATCAATGCAGGACTTTTTGCTCTCTTCTTACGGCTGCTCCCTTCGTCATGGGTCGCCACAGAGAACTAACTCACACAAAGACTTGCCAGTTGTTTTTACGCTGGTGCCTTTCCTGACACAACCACAGACCACCGAGCTACCACAGCCCTCTGTGTGGAGCAGAGAGCTGCCATCTAGGGTGCTCAGGTGAACAGATAGTGGAGGTTAAGAGTCTTGCTCAAGGGCCCAAAGTGGGGCAAGTGAGAGTGGAGGCAGGTGTGGGTGTTTCACCTATCACATCCATGTTTTTATGTTGTTGGTCCGGGGAGTTGAACCGGCAACCTTCCGATCACTGACCCACCTTCTCTAACCTCTTCACCACCACTCCCCCAGAAAAACCATCAATGCAGGATGAATGTACTTGTTGTTATTGCTTCTGTTTCGCTTTATTAGGCAGACATTTAGAAGTGCTGTCAGGGATAGCTTTGTTGTCATCAGCAGAAGAATCTCTGCTAAATTGATTTGTTGTTGTCAGACCTAAATATTTAACCAAATACTGACAACTGTCAACACAAAGTTTCAGAAAAATGAACTCAACGTTTATGCCACTTATTGCAACGTAACAATATCCTGTCAGCTTGAGTACTTTGACTTCTCATTTCTGTCAAAGAGCTAAATTGAGCAAGTGTGCACAAGTTAAATTAAAATTGTAAAAGTGCAGAACTACTGAGATAATTAGGGTTCACCATCAGTCATTTCTGTCAAAGAGCTAAATTGAGCAAGGGTGCATAAGTTAAATTAAAATTGTAAAAGTGCAGAACTACTGAGATAATTAGGGTTCACCACTGATGGTTTTACTTTAGTAGCAACATTAAGAGCTTTGATATATATGTGAAAGTAGTCGGATAGTGTAATTTTAAATGTACTGTCACTGTTATTTGAAAAACAAACAGTACTGAACATGTTGTGCTTCCATCAGTTTAACTGACTGTAACTAGACTTCTCTCAGTGCTGTCTGTAACTATCGTAGAGTTTCTGCTTATGTCATGAACAGTCATTCTTGTACAGAATAACCTCTGTATTCTGACATTTATATCCCTCGTTTTGTTTGAATGTTCCTCTCCAGCTCTTCTCCATTGTGATCTTTGGCTGCATTGCCAATGAGGGTTATATCAATCGCCCTAAGGAAGTGGAAGAGTACTGCATCTTCAACCGGAACCAGAATGCCTGCAATTATGGTGTCTTTATGGGCTCCATGACCTTCCTCTGCTGTGTTGCATTTCTGGCTCTGGATGTCTACTTTCCTCAGATCAGCAGCGTCAAAGACCGCAAAAAGGCTGTCCTTGCTGATGTAGGGGTGTCAGGTAAACCCACTCACATGTTTCATGTTGTATTTCTTGACAACAGAACAAAATACGTGCTCCGTAAAGTTTTTTGAGTCACTGACACATATACTGTATGTAAATATTTTTAATTTCAATGGTGATTTTAGTTAATATTGAAATAATCAATACAAATGCTGTACTGCTTCCCTAAAAATACCACATTAACAGGAATATTGTTGTTCTACATTCTTTTAAGCATGTTATTTTAATATAAAGAAAATGACCAGAGACAACTACAAAGAAATGTTTTTGAATGCTGTGAATGAACCCTTGAAAAATAGGTATAGATGACACATATCAGCATTGTCCAAACTCATGCATCCATACTTTACTGTTGTAATATAGATATTGGCCAATCAGCTCATTACTATAATGATCGCTCAACAAAAATCTCAACACGTCAAGGTGCCTTACTGATATTTATAGGTGAGTTGTATTCCAGTAATTTAGTGTTCCATCATAGTTCCATCCATCTGTCCATCCATCCATACATCCATTCATCCATACATCCATACATCCATACATCCATCCATCCATCCATACATCCATACATACATACATACATACATACATACATACATACATACATACAT